CAGGACTAAATGTTTCATTATGCTATTGCCAGCAGTACATAGGGAGCAGTTCTTGGAGTGAAGATTTCTTTTATTAGGGTAAAGGACTTTTGGAGGGGGCCAAAGGAAAATCCCAATCTAAGGTCTGTGCCCTGCAGATTTTAGAGAGGATGTGTTCACTGGAGCCACTGGGAGCCAGATCCAGCCCCAAACCCTGAGCCACCTTCAAACCTCAGGTCCCATGCTAAACTTAGTGACACAGTGAAACTGAGGTAAACCAAAAGTGCAATGCAGCTAAAAGAATTGATTTCGGCACCTCTTCATAGGGATTAGATAGCAACCTGAAGAAAGGGAAATTAACATATCAAAAAAGGAGGAAAAATATGAGATGGTTTCAGCTACAAAAGGAAGATCTCTTGTGTGGCTTTATTTTGTATGTGTGTGGAAAAATAACTTTCCTATGACACAGATGGCTTTCGAGTGGAACAGAACCTCTAATCTGTCCCCTGGAACTCTTTCTGATGCTATTTTTCCACAGCACTCATTTAAGCATAAGAGGCATTTTAACGAAACAGAAGCACTTGGAATTGATTTGGAGCTGGCAGCATAGAGCAGTGTAGCACATGATTGCACAACACAACAAAAGACAAACTGGTTTATTTTACTGAAGTTTGTGTCCTCTAAGCCAGCATGCTGCAGGTGTCATTTCCTCAATGCTGTGGCCCCGCATGTGTTTATTGGAAGAGATCACTGTCAGACAGGAAATCACCACTTCTAAATAGTTACCAGGCCCTTAACTAGCTTATTTATTTGTAGCTTCTATGGGGAGCATAACTACAGGGCAGCACTAAGGAGCAGTGGCTGTTTCTAGCAGTGAGCAGAGCAGCAGCACCAGCAGCTGTCACCAGGTTCTGAGACTAAGGGAGTCAGCCCTTCTGCTTGTCTTGTTTCCCTGCCTTCAGGTGGGATGAACACAGAGTCCATGATTCACCTTCAGAGAATATCCACATCTGGTGTCCTAATTTACAACTATCATGTACATCTCACACTCTTGTCAGCCTCAGCCAGCAGGCCATGCAGAGTAGCTAAGGGAGCTGGGACTTTTCACCTTCCCTCCTGGTAGTAAGGAACTGTAGTCTCCTGCCCTCCCAAGGGGATAGCTCCCTGCCACCTGCCTCTTTGGTGACCTTCTGCATGTCAGAGGTGCTAAGCAGCTCCGGCTTCCACAGACAAATGAATCAGCACCCCATAAATTATCACCCTATCTGAACTCCAACAGGCAAAAAAATGGTACTAAACACCAAGGATGGCATTCTGTTCTTTTCTAGACACCTTGACATCCCAATTTGGTTATCTACATGGCATTTTGGACATGAAAATCCCCCTAGAAACACGTATGCATAGGTTGGCATGCTATTGTGTACATACCACTCTACACACCTGGACAGCTATGGATCTGCCCAGACTGGTCATGTGCTCTGGCAACAGAATGAGGGAAAGA